ACTGTATATAATGCTTGGGGGATCTAAGGAATTTTCGAGCCAAAATGCTGATATTTACATGTAGAAAAGACATGTCAGAGCTGCCTTGGACATCAAGCGGTTACAGTCTATTCCATGACCCAGAACTATTCCCTGGCACTGCAGGCCGGAGGCGATCATTAGAACAGCGGCATTTGCTGGTGACAACAGGCAGCCTCAGGGCACACAGTCCGGCGGTGGAGGAGCGGAAGCCGATCTTCCAGGAAATATAGAATAGACGACGTTGTGTGTTCGGGGAAGCTGCCAACTCTTCAGGGGTCTTTGTCAGCCCAGCCTCGTCCAATCAAAACGGCGCTAAGCGTGTGCCCGCCCCTCCTCCTCCTCACACGCCCTGTGGTTGTAGGATGGGAAAGAGAAGCATATGGAGAGTCCGCTGTGTGGGAGACACTGAGTGACACCTTCCTGTGCTGGGGACAGGGACACCCTCCTCCCTGTGAGCCCGCAGGTAAGTCTCTGTGTGTTAGCGGGCGGTGCGCTCTTCTCATGGACAGCCCGGCCTGTACAGCACTGCCAGCGCCGCCTGCCTCTGTTATTGTTATTAATATAATCCCCCCACCCCCCTTCCATTGGACTCTATGGGCTTCAACGTGGCCGCGCGTTCTTGTGCCACTGATTTCATTGCATGGCAACAACACAAACTTTATTCATTTCTTATGTCCATCAAACGTACATCTGAGAGCGGTATTACACTCGGAAACAAACGTATTATACTGCAGAGGACCTATTCCTAGATATGATGGCTGCATTAGGGGCTTGTAGGCTTGCTTTCCTCCTATTTTTACCAGGTGATTTATTTTTATCTATTTGGCCCAGTGTTCTCCAAACTGCGGTCCTTTTGCTTTTTTCAGGCCCTCGGGGCACTATTTCATCCACCACCATACCAACAATGGGACATAATTCCCTACACTGACACCAACAATGGGACATAATTCCCTACACTGACACCAACAATGGGACATAATTCCCTACACTGACACCAACAATGGGACACAATTCCTCCTACTGACACCGACGATGGGGCACAATTCCTCCCACTGACACCGAACGATGGGGCACAATTCCTCCCACTGACACCGACGATGGGGCACAATTCCTCCCACTGACAAAGATGTTGCACTGGGGCCAATTCCTCCTACTCGACACCGACGATGGGGCACAATTCCTCCCACTGACACCAACGATGGGGCACAATTCCTCCCACTGACACCAACGATGGGGCACAATTCTCTCCCACTGACACCTCCCACGATGGGGCACAATTCCTCCCACTGACACCAACGATGGGGCACAATTCCTCCCACTGACACAACACAATGAAGCTCAATGACCCCAATGATGGAACACAATTCCTCCCACTGACATCAATTAGGGGGCGCAATTCCTTCCAGTGACACAACAATGGAGCGAAATAACCCCAATGATGGGGCACAATTCCTCCACTGACACTGACATCAATGATGCGGCACAATTCCTCCCACTGACACCAATGATGGGGCACAATTCCCCACTGACACCAATGATGGGGCACAATTCCTCCCACTGACACCAATGATGGGGCACAATTCCTCCCACTGACAGCAATGATGAGGCACAATTCCTCCCACTGACAGCAATGATGAGGCACAATTCCTCCCACTGACAGCAATGATGAGGCACAATTCCTCCCACTGACAGCAATGATGAGGCACAATTCCTCCCACTGACAGCAATGATGAGGCACTATTCCTCCCACTGACAGCAATGATGGGGCACAATTTCTTCCACTGACACCAATGATGGGGCACAATTTCTTCCACTGACACCAACAATAAGGCGCAATGACCCCAGTGATGGTGCACACCAAAGATGGGGCATTGTTTTTTCCCACTGACGTGGGGACCTTTTCTACTCCCAATGGCCACAGTCTGGCCCCTTACAGTCTGAAGGATAGTAAACTGGCCCTTTGTCTAGAAAGTTTGGAGACCCCTGGCTAGTAAGTCTGTTGTTTTTCAAAAGAGCAAGCTCTCTTGCAGATGTAGCAGTTACGGAGATGAGACAAACCATTTATCACTGACGGGGATGATGGTGAAGAGCTTTTATTTATTTATGTAAAAAACTTTATCCCAAAAGGAAAACCAAACTGGTCACATAAAGTGTGAGCTGGAGTTGTTTCAGTTTGTTAGTGTATCTAAATCTGCTAGTATATCTAAACCTCCCCCTATCCTCCCAGACTGACAAATGGGACCCCTGTGCTCCTTCATCAGTGGGGGCATCTCTAATAAAGGAGGTGTGTTACTGGCCAGATCACCAGGTGAAAACAAGGAAAAAGCCTAAAAAAAGACAAATGCAGGTACTACATCTAATGATTGGGTTTGAGTGCTCGGTCACACCGGTGTGATTTCAGGTGCGGTTTGCGAATTGTAATCACACCTGAAATCGCATCTAATGAATGTCAGTGTCTTAACACCTGTGATTTGCTGCAGCGTGACTTCTAAAGTAGGTCTTGCATTACTTTTTCTGCTGTTTCTTGCAATTTCACATACCTAGAATATAATGGAAATCGCATGAAATCTTTGAAAATCTTCACAGGTCGCAAGAAAGTCTTCACAAATCGTGCTGAAATAGCAAACAAATCATGCAATTTTGAATCGCGGCGGTGTGAGCGGTGACTAATACCGCTTTCAATAATTCGCTGCATTAAGGTAAAAAATATTTTGGTAGCAGTATGCCCCCTCATCCCCCAATACTTACTTGAGTCCTCGCTTGATCCAGCGCTGTGCCCGTCTGCAGTGACTCTCTTCTCCCCGCTCTCACAAGTTTTGCCTATGGCTCCTACTGCTGTCAGTCAAATCCTGTGACAAGGAGGTGGGGCCAAGCTACGCTGTCTGTGGACATAGGCAGTGTGACTCAGGATCGAGGCCCAGACAGGTGCACTCGTGGCAAGCTGCTCGCTATAGGGGCATTTGCCGAAGAGGAGGAGCCAGGAGCATCGGTTCGGCCCATAGAACAGAGCAGGTAAGTATAACATGTTTGTTATTAAAAAATAAAATAAGACTTTACAATCACTTTAACTGGTTCCTGCCCGGCCAATAGCACAAAGGCAACCGGCAAAACGCCTCGTGCCTCCGGGTGGACGCCATATGGCGTCCTTTCAGGCATGCGCAGTGCGCCTGCCCGCAGGACTGCTGCTCTGCGGCGCGATCTGTCACCGGCTGCATGCCTCGGACACGGCCGATGACAGATCTGTGTACTGACCCGGTTGCCAGTACCATGTAACCAATCACAGCAGGTCGCATGACAGTTGTATACATTGGATGGCTTCCTTTCATGCCGTCCATTGTATACTAGTGTGTCTAGCTGTGAATGGTCACAGCGATCACATGCATGAGCTGGGCCAATCACAGCCCAGCTGTGTCATGTGATTAGCCGTGGCCAAATCACAGCTAAGCACAAAAAAAAAACTGGCAGTAATAATAATAAAGAAAAGAGAGCCTAATAAAGAAAACTAATGCAGCCATCACATTTAAGACTAGGTTTAGCATTCGACAGATCAGTTGAATAGTAAGTATAGGTGAGTCAGATGTTACACACTGCATGTGGTTACTAAAATTTTTGGGCTCATTCACATGGGCACAGAAGGCCGTAAACCAACAGAATTCAGTGTATTTCTGTAAACAAAGGTGGAGATGCTGGTGATGGTAAAACCCATATAAAGCAAAGGCCATACTTGACAAGACCAGAATCTCTCAGACAGCAGCTGAATGTTGCTGGGAATGAGTCCTTGGTTGTTACCCAACAGCAACTTAGCAACCAGCGTTGCTGGACCTTTACATCACTCTATCATCTCTTGAGATTATATTGGTTGTTTTGTCTTTACTACACTGACTGCCATGCACAGAAATCGGTCCTGATAAACGACGATTGGCAGTTGTAGAGGAATGAGTGTTAGGCTAGCCATACATTATACAGTTTTCTTGAACAATTTTCCTTTTAGATTTATCTAAACCATATAATACGAGGTCATACCTTAACACATTTTGTATGCAGTGAGGCAGGCCCTGACACTACATAGTTGAAGGTAAATCTAAAAGAAATTGAATCATGTATGGCCAGCCTTACACAGCACAGCTGATTATGGTGCATTGCATGTCACATATGCTATTATGTAGCAGCTCCTATAGTTTATTAGGCACAGAAACCACGATCTATAGTCCCCATTCACGATTTGGAATCATGAGCAGGATCGCTGTGATTCTGTCTGCGATTCCAAATTGCAGTGCAATCATGGCAAAGCACGCTATGCTTGTTTGGGTGCCATTCATTCTTATTGGCTGCTGAAATGCAGTGCAGTTTTGCCGTGTAACAAATTGCATTGCATGAAGCTTGTTCAGAAAGGAACAGGAGCTTGTTCTGAGTGACAGACTTTGCACAATTATGACGCCTGACAATCACTGTAAAATCGCACCCCGTTTGATGTGCCAATAAAAATGAATGCAACCGAAACAGACATAGCATGTTTTGCCATGAGTTAGTGCGATTTAAAATCGTGGGCAGAATCACGGTGATTCTGCCCGCGATTCCAAATTGCAAAATGTTGGCGTTGTGCCTAGAAGATGATGTTGCAAGAAAGTAAGGCCCCTTACGGTGTTGAAACATAGTCTTCTAGGCACAATGCCACACACTTCCATTGTGCCAAATACTGAAAAACTAGTTTTCTGAAAAATTATTTATTTGGCGCAATTTGTGGACTGAACCTTTTTTTCTGCGTATGGTCCTGTTCCAGGAGCATCTTCATGTTCAAACCCTTCAATTTGAACAGTTATTTACTGAATTACCTAAATCACCATTTTATGCTCCAAAGATTTGTTGCACTTCAATAGTTTATCAGGCCCATTGTCTTTCCATATATACTTTCCACTTCCTCTGTTGCCATCCTTTGATGATTGATGTCCTGTCTGCTTTTCTTTCTCTTGTAGTTCCTAATGCTCTTAGACATGGATATCCTCTGTCTGCTGCTCCTTTTTCCTGCCATATGCCGTAAGTATCAGGTCTCCGGTATTAACAGATTTGCAAAAGTGTGGTACTAGCAAGAATGTCCACCGTATAGCAGTTATTTGCCTTAATAATGTATTTTTCAAAAACAACACAACAAGATTCTGCTTCACTTGAGATAATTAGACATGTCTATAATTGGTTCCATTTTTGAATGATATTCTTGTTGACTAATAAAATTGTTTCCTTTAAAATTTCACTAGGCCAAAAAATTACAGACCATTCATTGTGTATGCTTTAGGTAATTTAAAGCTGAACAAAGCAGGTAAACAGCTAAATACACATATGAAATACAGTGAGCTGTTTTACTTGCCAAAGGATTTTTAGTTCTGTCCATCCAGACCTTAGACTTGCACAGCCAGCCAGGAGACATGCTTTTCTCTACTTTAGTTAAAAGATATTTAAAGCGATACTAAAGGTTCATTCTTCTGTGTTTTTTTTTTTTTTTTTGTAAAATAACAAACATATCTATACTTACCTGCTGTGTCCAGTGGTTTTGCACAGAGCAGCCCCGGTCTTTCTCTTCTCAAGTCTCCCACAGGTGCCCTGGCCCCTCCCTCCTGGCGGGTGCCCCCACAGCAAGCAGCTTGCTATGGGGGCACGCTCTGCTACGTGTGGCCATTCACACACGGAGCTGTGGTTTGCCCCCACCCCCTCTGTCTCCTCATAGGCTGTCTGGCTATGATGAGAGCCAATGGCCCTCACTTGCTGTCTCAGTCAATGAAGAGGCAGAGACCTGAGACAGTCAAGGCTGTCAATCATATCGCTGGTTCGTGATGAGGCTCAGGTAAGCATTGAGAGGGCTGGGAGAGCTGCTGCACACAGAAGGATTTTTATCTTCATGCATAGAACGCATGAAGGTAAAAAACCTTCAGCCTGTACAACCACTTGAAACCCAGGAACAAAAAAAACTATGTGGTGGCTGTATTAGTTTTCATTTTTCAGGCAAAGAACATTTTCATGAAGTACAGAAAACGCCTGTATTGCAAAATTGGAAACAGTTACATTCTGTAAAATCATACCATAGTACTTTATTCCAGAAAGTTGACAAAAAAGCAGTCCCTGCTGTAGGCCACACCCTCTGACATGTATCACCCCGATTGGGCTTAATCATACCTCTACAATTAAAGCAAAGATCCACCCTAAAGGGGAAGTTGCGCTTTAAGGCCAGGTTCACATATGTGCGGGCTGCGTTTTGCACGTTTTTCATTTGAATGGACTCCCATGCCCCAACACACAGGGAAGAAGTCCCTGCACTTCTTTGGGAAACGCAGCACGCACAGGAACCAAGGTTTTCAGTACGGTTTCAATTTCCAGTGTGGGTGGCGTGCCATTAGAATTAATGGAACCAGCCCACGGGTCCCGCGTTCTCTGTGCGGGTGGTGCGGCTGCAGGTACTTTTGTGTGGGTCCCACAGCGGCACCACCCGCACAGATGTGAACCAAGCCTTTGCCTCGTCCCCCGCTCCCCATTAAGCATTGGCTCCTTTGGGAAACGCATACCTGATTTTGACAGGTACCCGCTCCCACTTCCGCTGCGATCACCTAGGCAATTGGAAACGGAACTTTTCTTCCCTCCCTCCCCGTAGTTTTCTGGGACACATGACAGGTCCCAAAATATTACAGGACTATGCACAAGGCACAGTACTACTCGCGCTTGCACAATGGGCACCCGGCTGTGAGGCCACAAGCTGTCACACCCGAGTGCCCACACTTAGGATGTTGGCACTGGGGAGAGAAGACAGCTGGTGAACACAACTGGTTTGAACACGTCGCTGGATCAAGGGACAGGTGAGTGTCTGTTTTTTAAAAGTTGGCAGCTACAGTTTTTGCATCTGCTGACTTTTGACTGGAGCTCCAATTTAAGCTCAGTCAAGGTGAAATACATCAAAGAATCGTGGCTTGTTTCCACTTTTTTGCAATATATGCTGAGCAAGATCAGCAGGAGTCAGCACCTGATTCATGAGTAGGGCCTGAGGAGCAATTCCATGCCTAGAAGACTTGGTGCTGTCCTTACAAATCATGGAGGTCATACAAAATACTAGATGTAGTAGTTTTTGTTGTGGGGTGTATGAACAGGAGCCAGGCGCTGTGTAGTTTTGTGATAAAAGTAATACACCTTATATGGAGACTTGATAAAGCGCATGTGCGCGAAACATGTTGTCCCGGCAACCGGCCTCTTCCTTCTAAAGCTGCGGCTCCAGCAAGAGTTCCCCCCCTCCGTCTCTCCACATCGTGGTGACGTCATCCAGGACACTGGGACGTCGGGTACACGTGGTCCCTGCACTGACAGGTATTCTACTCCACTGCTTCCCTCTGAGCAGACGGGCCGTCCATCTTGGAACCTGGTTTCTTAAAGCCACAGGCTGGTTATTTATTTTTTACCATATGAATTATTAAAGGCACACCTCCATATAAGGTGTATTACTTTTATCACAAAACTACACAGCGCCTGGCTCCTGTTCATACTTCCCACAAACCGATGTGTTTTTACCATGGCAGCAGTGAGTTTTTTCCCCACCAATCACAGTTGACATATACCATTCACTTATTTCCTTTGGGACACATCTGTGCGCTTTTTTGTTGTCCAGACTGTTCTTTGTCTTCTATCCCACCATAGAAAATGTTGATTCCAGCACATTATATACACGTCTTCTATCCCACCACCAGCACATTATATACACGTCTTCTATCCCACCACCAGCACATTATATACACGTCTCCTATATCACCACCAGCACATTATATACACGTCTCCCATCCCACCACCAGCACACATTATATACACGTCTCCTATCCCACCACCAGCACATTATATACACGTCTCCTATCCCACCACCAGCACATTATATACACGTCTCCTATCCCACCACCAGCACATTATATACACGTCTCCTATCCCACCACCAGCACATTATATACATGTCTCCTATCCCACCACCAGCACATTATATACACGTCTCCTATCCCACCACCAGCACATTATATATACACGTCTCCTATCCCACCACCAGCACATTATATACATGTCTCCTATCCCACCACCAGCACATTATATACACGTCTCCTATCCCACCACCAGCACATTATATACATGTCTCCTATCCCACCACCAGCACATTATATACACGTCTCCTATCCCACCACCAGCACATTATATACACTTCCCCCCTCTCCCCCTACACCCTACTACCACCACCAATACATTTTATATACCTCCCTAGTAGACACATACTCTAACTGCAGTTTATACACCTCCTCCCAGCATTACCATCAAATAGCTTGGGTGCCAAAATGCAGGGGGTAGTGACTGTGGCAGTGGCAGGATACCTACAGTGGTGCTGTCCTGCAGGGTCACAGCCCAAGTGAGAAAAGAAATTGACTATTGGGTATACTTTAGCCATTAATCATACTTTTAGATAATACAGTTTGTTCCATTGTTGAACATTGCTGATTTATTAGATGCACTTTTTATATGTAGAAGATACGTTATCCAGTGAAGATTTTAAAATATGACTATTGATGTAAACAAACAGTTAACTGTTCTTTCCTCCTTTATCCTTCCTGCACATCTCTCCAGGAGCCCTTGAAGTTGGTGTCCCTGATCTTCCTGTCACTGGAATCCTGGATGAAGATGTCATCCTCCCCTGCTGGTTCACTCCCCCGGCTGGCTTCTCAGTGCAGAACCTCAGTTTGTTTTGGAAGTTAACAAGTTTGCAGCAGGTTCATGCTTTTACACTTGGACAGGAGCAATTGGAGAACCAGGAACCAAATTTCACAAATCGTACACAGCTTTTTCTGAATAAACTGCCAGAAGGCAATATGTCCCTTCTTCTCCGCAAAGTCCGTCTATCTGACGAAGGCACCTATACATGCTTTGTTAATGTTGGAAACTTCGATTCAGCTGCTGTGAGTCTGCAGGTGGCAGGTAAGCATCAGTTAAGGGTTCGTTCACATGGGGCGCTTTACGTGCAGGCCTGTGTTTTCCCTGCCCAGGAATGCACAGGTATTGTTTGCATCCCTGTGCCAGCGTCCAATTAATTTCTATTTAGACACACAACTGCTGTGTCCTAGTATGATATGCAGAGTACGGATGCACGCAACACCTGTGCATTCCCATACTGGGACCTGCACAAGGCCCACAGAAAAGTGTCTCGTGAATGGGCCCTAACAGTGTAAAGCTATCGCCTTCTTTGTTAGTGTAATAAATGCAGGATGCTCTTCTTCTTTTTTGAACAGCCTCTTTCACAAAGCCAATTTTGCACCTGGAACCTAGCGAGGGTCTTAAACCTGGTGATCATGTAACAGTGACATGCCACACTTATCGTGGGTACCCAGAGGCTGAAATATTATGGCAGGATGGAAAAGGACAAAACCTGACAGAAAACATCACAACTTCACAAGTGGCCAATGAAGAAGGCTTGTTCCATGTTCAGAGCTCTGTCCATGTCATCTTGGAGACCAGCGACACATACACTTGCTTGGTATACAATCCCATCCTGCAAGTGATGACTCATGCATCTCTGAGTGTAACAGGTCAGTATGGAATGTGCAGTCTTTAGATTTGGTCAGTGTAGCAGATATGTAGGCCTTTAGATTTAAAGTGGTTCTAAAGCCTTAAGGTGTTTTTATTTTCATGCATTCTCTGCATGAAGGTGAAAAACCTGTGTCCAGTAGTCATCACCCCTCCCCGCTTACCTAACTCTGATCTTGAGTCTGGGCTGTGCACAGGGCACCTGCTCTCCTTCTTCACAGGGTAGTTTGATAGCAGTGGGAGTCATTGGCTCCTGCTGCTGTCAATCAAATCTTATAACATGGGAACGGGTTGGGGCAAGGCCCCACTGTTTGTGTCTGTGTATGCAGACAAAGGGGCTTAGGAGTGAGCCTGCAGGAGTACCCCCCCTGAGAAAGCGGCTTGCTGGAGGGGGGTTACTTAAAAGGCAGGAGGACCAGTGGGGGACCCCAGAAGAGAAGGATAAAGGCTGCTCTGTGCAGAACAATTGCACAGAGGATGTAAGTATAACATTTTTGTTATTATGTTTGTTCTTAAAAAAAAAAAGGTTTAGAATCACTTTAATGAGGCACAGATATTCATAGTGTATTGCAATTGTAACATTTTCTAGAATGTTTTAACCAATAAACATTATCCAAAATTATTATTTTGGACTGATACAAAGATTAATTATTTTGATCCCATTAGAAGGTTTATTAAAGTGGAACTCCATCCAGTTTCTTTTTTAGATATGGAGAAGCAAGAATTGGAGCATTTGACATATTTTTGCTGCTCTTTTTTTCACCTCCTAGTAACAATGCAGAAAATTGCATGAGGTCTTTCAGAGCAATGATATTTTGGTCTAATTCAGCCTTTATCAACAGGGGTGCATTGTCAAAAAGCTTAAATATTGCCCCAAAACAATGCATAGAAGCCAGCAGGTTAATCAAGCCTGTCTGTTTAGTTACACAAAGCTATTGGTTTTCATTGTTCACCATTACAGCTTTCTAGCCGCCAGGGTCATAAGAACCAATGATGTCATTGATTGATAAGATGGACGTTGGGCACCTGCACAGCATCCTTGTTTGCCCGTCTCCGTCAGCACACGGGTCACATTAACTGAGGGAGAAGAGAAACATTGCAATACTAGTCAGTACCAGTGTGCAAAAGCGTGTTTAAAAAGAAACAAAAATGAACAATACCCACTCTGCCCTAAAATATATTGTGACAGGATGAGACTTTGTCACTGTGAGAAGGAGTAAGACTAGAGAGCTAGACAACACAGTCAGAGAGACTGGTAAGAGGAGCAGCGTGATACTGCAATTGAAGCTGAGTGAGCTTATCAGCCAGATGGCTCGGCATTTTCCAGTGTATATATTTCTACTGAAGCTAGAGAAGATCCTCTGAGTGCAAAATCATTAGTTTGTGAACGTTTTGCTTTCTTTTAAATAAAAGTGGGATACCAAGCCCTAAAAAATAGTCCCTGTCTGCCATAGACTCACTAAAATAGCGCATCTATCACAAGAACAAACTACCCCATGTCACAATATACTGTAGTTTTTTGACTTCCTCACTTGTTTTGGATATTTCTTGCTTGCGTCCTGCTTTGTTCACATGTCCTCCACTGTCTTGACTTTTTTTTTTCTTGGTTGTTGGACAATAGTTTCGGAGTTGTGTAGATCTAGCGGGGATTTCTTCTCTGGAAAGACTGAGCCCATCGAGCTTCTGGTAGTGTTGGAGATTTCATTTCAGCAGTATCTGAAAATTCTGAATGAGTGTCTGATGCTTCTGGTGTGCTGAAATTAACCCTTTTATCGGCTGTAGACACAGATCTTTTTTTGAGTATAGTTTGTGGAAACCTTTTTGGTTTTATTGTGAACATGCACCGTTCCTTCCTCCATAATCATTTAAATCACGTAGATATTTGGATCTTTTAATCTCCAAAATCTCATCTTCCAGATTCTTAATATTAGAAGATTCGAATTCAGATTTTCATAAGAGGAAAGCTGGCGATATTGCAAAAGGATTATTCTTTTGAAGAGATTATGCTATGATTTACTTCCACCAATAATTTTTCGTCATATGACAGTATTACCATATTTTTTGCTCCATAAGACGCACCTGACCATAAGACGCACCTAGGTTTTAGAGGCGAAAAACAAGAAAAAAAAATATTCTGAACCAATGGACTGCAGACACAGTACAGGAGATGACCAGAGACTGCGGACACAGTACAGGAGATGACCAGAGACTGCGGACACAGTACAGGAGATGACCAGAGACTGCGGACACAGTACAGGAGATGACCAGAGACTGCGGACACAGTACAGGAGATGACCAGAGACTGCGGACACAGTACAGGAGATGACCAGAGACTGCGGACACAGTACAGGAGATGACCAGAGACTGCGGACACAGTACAGGAGATGACCAGAGACTGCGGACACAGTACAGGAGATGACCAGAGACTGCGGACACAGTACAGGAGATGACCAGAGACTGCGGACACAGTACAGGAGATGACCAGAGACTGCGGACACAGTACAGGAGATGACCAGAGACTGCGGACACAGTACAGGAGATGACCAGAGACCAGAGCGGACACAGTACAGGAGATGACCAGAGACTGCGGACACAGTACAGGAGATGACCAGAGACTGCGGACACAGTACAGGAGATGACCAGAGACTGCGGACACAGTACAGGAGATGACCAGAGACTGCGGACACAGTACAGGAGATGACCAGAGACTGCGGACACAGTACAGGAGATGACCAGAGACTGCGGACACAGTACAGGAGATGACCAGAGACTGCGGACACAGTACAGGCGATGACCAGAGACTGCGGACACAGTACAGGGAAAATACCAGGGACACAGTACAGATGACCAGAGAATAACCAGAGACTGCAGACAGTGCAGGGGATGACCAGAGACTGCAGACAGTGCAGGGGATGACCAGAGACTGCAGACAGTGCAGGGGATGACCAGAGACTGCAGACAGTGCAGGGGATGTCCGGAGAATGCTGACCTTTGGGGAGGGAAGGGGAGCGGGTACCTGAATTTGACAGGTACCCGCTCCCACTTCCACGGAGTTGTCCTTCCCTCTTCCCAGCGCCGGCTTCTGTGACAGCCGAGTGCCCACTGCGCATGTGCGAGAAGCGCTGCGCTTTGTGAATGGCCCGGCACCTTCTGGGACCTGTCATGTGTCCCAGAAGACACCGGACCATTCACAAAGCGCAGTGCATGCGCAGTGGGCACCCGGCTGTCACAGAAGCCAGCGCGGGAAGACTGTGCAGCGCTGGAGCGAGGAACAGGTAAGGCCCTGCAGGAGAGAACAGCTGAGCGGCCGGCCCGGTATTCTGACATGGTGGCGGCAGAAATACCAGTCCGGCCGCTCCATATTCGCTCCATAAGATGCACTGACATTTTACCCCCTTTTTTTGGGGGAAAAAAGTGCGTCTTATGGAGCGAAAAATACGGTAACTTCGTGAGGTTGAGAGAAAAAGTGGTAAGGATGTCATTCCATTCTGTAAGGAAAATATCCGAATAAATTGTAGAAGGAAATTTTCTGATCCTTCTAAACCTCTGGGAATCATGCTACCATCAATATACCTCTGGAGACCTTTGTAATCCCACCAGAGCCACATTTCCTTATACATCAAAGTTCTCAATTTATCAAACGCAAATTTGCACTGGGCTTTCGATGTGAGACTACAGTCATCCTTGTGAAGACTTGTGACAATTATGTTGTCAGTCTGGCACAGTGAGTATTGCTTGCATATCTTATGCTTGGTTACTTTCCAAGTTAAATGGATCCTGTTGTGTAACCATCATGCAAATCATCTTATCACCCAGAATGGATTGATTATCTGGACCTGATCTTTACAGGACATATCATGAGTGGGGAGGTGACCACTAAAACCTATAGAAAACAATGTGCGGGCAATTCTCTTTTATTAGTCACTAGTTGTCACCCCAAACACACATCCGAGCAATACCGATGGGAGAATTCATCAGAGCTAGTTGTTCTGCACAGGATGATTTTGATCGGGAATACAGACAGTCTTCAGTAGACAGAGAGCAGGGCTATAAAGAAGAATTGATCAGTAGGGGTAGAACCACATCACAGAAACCTGACATTTTAACAGCGGTGTGTGGACTTTTTTTTTTTATATCCACTGTATATAAAACCCTTAATGATCCAAATGATAAAAATGTATGAAAGACCAACAACCAAAATCTCTGCTGTACTTAATGACTGATAACTAAATAAAGGTGTGTTTGTTCACCTCTAACAAAGGGTGTCCTATGTGTGTGGATGTTGCTGTATTATGTAAAATTATTAATTTAAGTGGTTCTAAAGGCTTAAGGTTTTTTTACCTTCATGTGTGAAGGACCCCCCCAAACATGCCTAATACTTACCTAATCCCCTTCTCAATCCAGCGATGTGCATTGGAGTCTCGGCTATCCCGGGACTCGCTCTCCTCATTGGCTAAGACAGCAGCGGGAGCCATTGGCTCCCACTGCTGTTAATCACAGCCAGTAAGCCAATGAAAATAGAGAGGGGGCAGGGCCGAGCCACGGCTCTATGTGTGGATGGACATACGAGCAGCGGGTGCCACCCTAGCAAGCTGCTTGCTGTGGGGGCACCCAACAGGAGGGAGGGGCCAGGAGCACTGGCAGGGGACCCGAGAAGAGGAGGATCCGGGCTGCTCTGTTTAAAACCACTGAGCACAGCAGGTAAGTATAGACTTGTTTTTTGGGGGTTTTTTTTTTATCTTTTTTAATTTTGAGCCTTTAGAATCACTTTTAGATTTCAGTCAATTTTAGAATGGGGTTCCTCAAGATTGTGCAGAATTTTAAAGGGTACCTTGATTGAAAAATAGGTTGAGAAACACTGGTCTAATTGATGCAATGAACCGAAACTATATTTGTAAATGTATTTGCATGTTAGAATACCTCATTCTATCTGTCTGTCTGTCCAATTGAATGTTCTACCTTACATCTACAGGGCAGCATCTCTCATTCCCACTTGTGGCTTTGTGGGTGACAGTGGGGCTTTGTGTCTGCCTTCTGGGACTCCTTGTGGCTCTTGCCTGTGTTTGTCGGAAACAGCTAAAACAGACCTGTGAGGAAGAGCAAGAACAAGAGGAAACCGGTAATAAGCGTAGGATTTGGCAGTATTATTTTTCCAAACAGGAGGTGAAGATAGATTATCTAGGATACTTAGAGGGAGAAGCATGAAGCTAATAGACATGCCGGAGCGTCTATAGGGAGTCAGACCAGACCAAACACTAAACCTGTCACTGAATATTCCATTTCCTTCCTTCTATGCAGGCAACATGGAACAAGAAGAAAATGGAGAATTGAAGACAGGTATAATTGTTAAACTCTATAGGTGTATATATTCCATTTCTCCATTTAAGATTATTTCATCTTCAACATCATGTAATAAGCCTTCCACTTTATACTTCAGTTAGCTCTAGTTTTCTAAATTTCTTTTTTCATACACCTACTTTGCATTGTCTCTTTCTTTGGCATAACCCATGTGCAAATTATAAAAAGACTGTTAGCCCATGCTTTGCAGTAAAAATCCTCTTTCATTGACCTGATTTCGGTGTACTGCCAACTTATTAGGCATTATTGGTATTTTCTTGTCTTCTTTTCATTCCCTCAATTTTTATGTTTTGCAGCCATGCAGCCCCTAAAGGCCAGCACAGCAGAAGGTAAGATGGTAGAATCTTCTAAATGTTGTTTTATGTAGCAGACTACATGTAGAGTCATGCTTGATAATGACTAGCAAGAAGCATGAACATAACAGTCACATCCAACATTTTTAATATATTCAGTATTGTGAATTGCAACTGTCAAGTAAATGCAATTTAAAGTCCAAATAATTCCATGTGCAAAAAAAAGTGTTCACTGTTTTCCAGTTCATTTTTTTTTGTAACGCAGCCACAGCCTGAGTAGAAAAGTCTGTCCTCTTACAGCAACTTCAGAATGGGAGCCTTGCTGTTTGTGGTAAAGCAATGATCTCTCAGTAGTGGCCCAACACCCCTGTACTGAGTCATACCAATATAGCTCTGCAAAACTCATGGTCCCTGCTAATTGGAGAGTTCTAGTACCCTGTTTCCCCTAAAATAAGACCTAGTGCTATTTTTGGGAATTGCTAAAGTATAAGACCTACCCCGAAAATAAGACCTAGTTGTGGTCAGGGCTTTTTTTTTTTTTTTAGCCGGAACATAGCGTAACGCCATTCTGTCACCTCCGCCACTGGCCTTGCGCACACCCATATCTACTGTCTCTTATAAACACAGAAGCGCGACTGAAGTGACAGCACCATCCGCTCCCACAGAACCTCCCTACCTCTGTACTCACTGTGGGACAGGGAAGGAACAGATATCTGTGGGTGCAGTATGCAGTGTGTTTAGGGGTGGGGCATCTCCTCCTGCAGCTTAATGCATGGAAGCCGATGCCCCAGGGGTGATCGCCGGCCAGTGGGGAAGAGGTGGAGCGGTGAGTAAGTGCACTTGGGGCACTGTGTGGGAAGATAGGACCTGAAGCGGGAGTTAGTATAGAGAGGGGCCGGCTGCTGACAGCTGTGTTTTTTGCAAAACTAGCTAACCATATGAGGGCAGTGGAGGGGGAGGGGGGGATGTGCAAAGGTGAGCTGCAGTCAGGTGTTGCAGAGGTAAATTGAGTCAGGTGATTTGCAGACAGGGTGTGTAGGTGAGCTGCGGCTGGGGGTGTGCAGAAGTGAGCTGAGTTGCAACCCACTTTTGCACCCCTGGCTACAGCTCAGCTCAGCTCTGCACGTCCCGGCCACAGCTCAGCTCTGCATTCCCTGTCTGCAATTCACCCCTGCACCCTGTCTGTGGCTCATATCTGCACCCTGTCTGAAACTCACCTGTCAAGTCTCCCCTGCAACACCTGACTGCAGCTCACAATTATCATCAACCGGCCCTCTCCATAGTAACCTTCATCCACGACTGCCTGCAGCTCACCTCTGCACCCCCTGTCCACACCTGGACATTTAAAAAATAAGACCTACCCCGAAAACCAGACCTAGTGTGTTTTTTTGAGCCAAAAAAATATAAGACAGTGTCTTATTTTCGGGGAAGCACGGTACTAACTCAGTAGAGGTTGTGTCGAACCTTGGCAGCAATACCACGCAGAGAGCAAGATTCCCACTCTGCAGCTCTTGATAGGGGAAAGGCTTTTTTTCTCAGGCTCTAGATGGTTTAGAAAGGAAACAAAATGTAAGACATTGAATACAGGTTATAAGCTGTGTGCGACATGTATTTTTTTTTTTTTTATACCATTTCTAAAAAAAAATGTAAATGTTTCAAGAACTTTTGAGAACACTCGATATTTTGATAACTGTACTTTGATTACAATTGTCCTTTAAATTGTCTATAAACCTTAACAATAAACAAGTCTTATTTGCTCCCTTTTGGTCTTGGGATGGTCAGGGATGTTTAGTGCACACTTGCTGTGTTATCAAAACTAGAGTAATTAACCCTCTTGGTCATCATTTTAGGATTACAGAACGAAAAGCCTTTACATTGCAGAGATGGAAAAGTAGGTGGGTCTGAGTAGTGTGCTAAGAGAAAACTGTTCATGGCTGACACCACTTAGTCCACAAACATGCTGTGTGTTGTAAGCCGTGCTAATAGTAATAAAAGTGAGCGCTAACCAAAGAGCAGCTATGCACTCAAGGTAACCAATGTACGCTATAACCAGAATTATTAAAACAGTGCAGCACTAAGAAATCAAAGCTAGAATGAATGAAATTCACATAAATCGAAGATTCATATAAATAGTCTGTGTGGTATTTATCGTGCCAGGTGACTGGTAACAATCAATGGTGGTGCTCCGTGGAAAATAGAAGTGCGCACTCACCAGAAAGTAAAGCCCATAACAGGACTTAGGAGCTGAGTTAATTTCTGGCAGATTAGCGGGTATTTTTCTGTACTTGCAGGATCTTTAACCACTTAGGCTCCTTGGGTGTGTCCTATAGACCCAGGCATTGAAAGGGTGAAACACAAGCTCACAGCTTCAACAACTATATATCAATAGATCACTTTTTATATTGACCTGTGGCAGTCAGCCAAATAGAGATCATTATAGGAGCAACATCAAAGAAAAAATGCACAGAAATCGAATATGAGAAAGTTTCTTCAAGAGACGTACTACAATGTATCTTTTTCGTATCTTGTGCCTGATAATGCAGGCCATACATGGTTCAAATTCTGAACAATTTTTTGTCCGAAAATCAAAAGAACATAGTTTGCTCGGTAATCCGATGGTGCCATCAGTGATTTTGAAAATTGGCCGACCAAGTCATAAAGTTCACAACTTATAACAGGCGAAACTTCTGTTCCTTCCAGGTCACGGCTCATGCGCATATTCTCTTCGGAAAAAAGATTGTATGATTTGACCATTGAGTCGAAAATCGGTCGTTTTTTCACGAATTTTCCAACATGGTCGATCACCGAAAAGGGAAGGAACTACGAAAATCACCATTGAACCACTAACAGAGCGAAAATCGGCCGATTATTCTTAGGTCCGATTTTTGGATTAGACGAAAAATCAGTCGAATTTCGACCCATGTATGGCCGGCATTACTCTGTGTAAGTCCCCGGTCACACTGGTGCGACTTAGGTGCATCATGTGATTTACAAATCGCACCTGAAGTCACATCTAATGTATTTATATGGCACTGGCTTAATCAGTGCGATTTAAAGTAGTGCGATTTCAAAAATAGTTCATGCACTGCTTTTTGCTGATTTTATTGCGACTTGCATTGACTTCTGTTAAATGAAATTGCAAGCCACAGTGAAATCGGAAGTACAAATTGCGCTGATCTCTAGCTTTGAAATTACGCTACTTCAAGTAGCATTCAGTGTGAACTAGGGCTAAAATCACTCCAAAAAGCAGTTCCATGACCTACAACTGTGCTCACAGATACACTACCAAGAAGATTTCATGTCAAAAAACGCTTACCGTATTTGCCGGCGTATAAGACGACTTTTCAACCCCTGAAAATCTTCTGAAAAGTCGGGGGTCGTCTTATACGCCGGTATACGGCGAGCCGGTGTGTCAGGGCGGCACTTTTTCCAGGGGCGGTGTCCTCCAACGGACACTAAGTACAGGGGTGGGCAGAGGGGCTGCTGTACCTTACCTGGCTCCGGTCCCGGTCCCACGATGATCCGGTCCAGGAAGCGCGGCTGCTCCTTCTTTCAGTTCGGCAACTCGATGGTCGCGTGGCCGCTCGGCTCCGCCTCCTTACCGGTGATTGGGCGCCAGCGCACACAGGCGACCAATCATCGGCGAGGAGGCGGAGCCGAACGGCCCCGCGAAAATCAAGCTGCCGAAGTGAAAGAAGGAGCAGCCGCTCCTCTCCCCCACTGACACTAACGATGGGGCACTATTCCTCCTCCACACTGACACCAATGATGGGGCACTATTCCTCCTCCCCACTGACACCAATGATGGGGCACTATTCCTCCTCCCCACTGACACCAATGATGGGGCACTATTCCTCCTCCCCCACTGACACCAATGATGGGGCACTATTCCTTCCTCCCCACTGACACCAATGATGGGGCACTATTCCTCCCCACTGACACCAATGATGGGGCACTATTCCTCCCCCACTGACACAAACGATGGGGCACTATTCCTCCCCCCCACTGACACCAACGATGGGGCACTATTCCTCCCCCACTGACACCAACGATGGGGCACTATTCCTCCCCCACTGACACCAACGATGGGGCACTATTCCTCCCCCACTGACACCAATGATGGGGCACTATTCCTCCCCCCACTGACACCAATGATGGGGCACTATTCCTCCCCCACTGACACCAATGATGGGGCACTATTCCTCCCCCACTGACACCAATGATGGGGCACTATTCCTCCCCCACTGACACCAATGATGGGGCACTATTCCTCCCCCACTGACACCAATGATGGGGCACTATTCCTCCCCCACTGACACCAATGATGGGGCACTATTCCTCCCCCACTGACACCAATGATGGGGCACTATTCCTCCCCCACTGACACCAACGATGGGGCACTATTCCTCTCCCACTGACACCAACGATGGGGCACTATTCCTCTCCCACTGACACCAACGATGGGGCACTATTCCTCTCCCCACTGACACCAATGATGGGGCACTATTCCTCCCCCACTGACACCAACCATGGGGCACTATTCCTCCCCCACTGACACCAATGATGGGGCACTTTTCTCCCCCACTGATACCAACCATGGGGCACTATTCCTCCCCCACTGACACCAACCATGGGGCACTATTCCTCCTCCCCACTGACACCAACGATGGGGCACTATTCCTCCTCCCCACTGACACCAACGATGGGGCACTATTCCTCCTCCCCACTGACACCAACGATGGGGCACTATTCCTCCTCCCCACTGACACCAACGATGGGGCACTATTCCTCCTCCCCACTGACACCAACGATGGGGCACTATTCCTCCTCCCCACTGACACCAACGATGGGGCACTATTCCTCCTCCCCACTGACACCAACGATGGGGCACTATTCCTCCTCCCCACTGACACCAATGATGGGGTGCACTATTCCTCCCACTGACACCAATGATGGGGCACTATTCCTCCCACTGATACCAATGATGGGGTCCCCACTGACACCAATGATGGGGCACTATTCCTCCCCCACTGACACCAAT